GTGAGGGAATGTATGGGAGAAAGGAAGAGGCGAAGAGCGAAAGGGAGAAAGAAAGGAGAGAGGAAGAGAGGGAGGGAGGGAGAGGGAAAATGAGAGTGAGGGAGGGAGAGGGAGAGGGGGAGGGAGAGGGAGAGGGAGAGAGAAAGAGAGAGAGAGAGAGAGAGAGAGAGAGAGAGAGAGAGAGAGAGAGAGAGAGAGAGAGAGAGAGAGAGAGAGAGAGAGAGAGAGGAGAGAAATTTTCAAGCAAACCACACTCGTACCATTTACGTCCAAATAGATCTTGCTTTCGAATTCGGAATTTCCCGGATTCTTATTTTTTTTCTTTGTCTCTCTCTCTCTCTCCTTCTTCATCTTATCATTATTTCCTTCCTCTATTGCACGTTAAATAAATGACGGACACTATCAACAGACCACGATTCCCACTACGACAAAGACTGTCGTTATGCTTAAACTACAGGATGTATCACAGCGACAGATAGGTGTGCAACGTCCTGTGTTCGTATTTTTGTGTTTGTATATTTTTGTGTGTCTGTCTAGCGTTTGTCTGTTTCGTGCTTGCGGTTTGCTCTCTATATTTGTCTTTTGTGTGTGTCTGTCTCTGATTATGTTGTGTTTGCATGCATAACTGTATGTGTTTTAGTATGTATGTGTAGGTATGTGTTATATGTATATATTTTTATTGTGCATACTTTAATGAGGGGGTGGCATAGCTCAGCGGTAGAGCGCTGACTCTGCAATCGTAACGTCCCGGGTTCGCGCCACCCCTCTCAGTCGACTCAGCTGTGAATGACTACTGATATGCTGAAGTCAGCATGTTGGGGTCAAAGTCGGGGCGGAAAGGAACTGGCCACCCTACCGCATCATCCCGCGGCCTAGTAAGCATGTTTCTCTACGAACATGTCCCCTGCGTTCATATGAACATGGGACAAAAAAAATAAATAAATAAATACTTTAACGTGTATTTGCGTTCTATAAGTGTCTGTAAGTGCTCGCTCGTATTCATAAGTATGTGGGCGCGATTATGTTGTCATTAAGTACTCTTCCGGTCTCCAGAGTCGGGAAGGTGTTGCCAGAACTGCGTAAAATCGGGCTCCTTTGTTCTTCTTTTTTTTGACTTGGTATTATTTCCTCTTTGTTATTGTTATTCTTTCTGTTTTTTTTTCTTTGTTGTTGTTATTATTTGTTATATTTTTCTCAACTATAGTTATTTTTTGTTTTGTTTTTCGTCTTAGTTAATGTTATCATTCCATTTTTTTCCACTCTATTTTTTCTTCTATTTGACTTTTTCTTTAAGGAAACTGCGTCACTGTTTTCTACGATCTGTTCTTGCATGTGAGTCTCGTATTAGTATCATTATGCTGAAGGTGTTATTCCGTCCTGTTCTCCTGTTCTTCTGATCTTGAGAACACAACACGACGGGCTGTTCTTCCGCAGTTCCTGTGTTCTCTGCGTCATTGAACTTAATCCATTGTAAGCAGGGGGGGAACCGGGGGGGAGGGGGAGGGGAGAGAGAAAAGCGGGGTAGATGAAGGGGGAGGGATAGAGGAAGGGGAGAGCCGGAGGATGGGGTGGGAGGGGTGGAGGAGGACGAGGGGGAGGGGTCCAATAGGAGGATGGGGAGGGGGGGGGTGTTCCAATTGTCTGTGAATAACCTTGGGACGAAATACTAGAATTCGCTTGTGCATTATTAATGTACGTTTCTCGGGGCAGTTTGCGTGTGGGTGATATTATATTGTGTGTATGTTGTGATGAGTCACGAGAGTGAGCGCGCGAGTGTGTGTGTGTGCGTGTGCGTGCGTGCATGCGTGCGTGAGTGTGTGTGTGTTTGTGTGCCTATGCCCATGTGTATATGTGCGCGTGTGTGTGATTGACTTCATTCTAGCTCAGGTGTGACTATCTTTACATGTGTAGAAACCCAACAACACTAACATATGACCAGTCATGTCTGTTTTCATTCTTCTTTGGTATACACGTACACAGAATCCTTCCTCTGTCCACCTCCTTCCTCCCTCCTTCCCCCCTTCCTTCCTCCCCTACCCCTTCCTCCTCTATCCCTCCCCCTTCCTCCTCCCTTCCCCCCTCCCATGCGTCCTTCCTTTTTTCCGAACAATAACTTCGAAACGGAGGCCGAGGATGTGTAGGATGAGGCGGCAGGGAGATGGAGTAGGATGTCAAATAAGGAGATAGGATGTAGAGTCGATGGAACTGCGTCGGAGGATATCCAAGATTATCCTGTTTTCCTGTTTTGCGAAGAAGTGGAGGTTCGCGAATTCCGCCATGGGTCTCTCTTTCCCTTTTTTTTCATTATTTCTCTTGATTTTTAAAAAGAACTCTTTGTTTTACTTTTTTTACATGTATGTATATGTATATGTATATGTATATGTATATGTATACATATGTATGTATGCGTATGCGTATTTGTATGTATATGTCTATGTATGTGTATATAAATTTGTGTGTGTGTTTGTGTGTGTGTATTCTATGTATGCATATATGTGTATATATATATATACATATATATATATATATATATATATATATATATATATATATATATATATATATATATATATATATATATGTATATGTATATGTGTATATATATATACGTATTTACATATGTATATATGTATATATTTATATATGCCTCTCTCTCTCTCTCTCTCTCTCTCTCTCTCTCTCTCTCTCTCTCTCTATATATATATATATATATATATATATATATATATATATATATATATGCATACATCCATGTGTAATCCTATTTATATAGATATCCCTGCGGCTCCTGTTTGTGCCTCGGCGACCATGAGAATATTTTCCTTGATGTAGGTCAAAGCAAGTTATTTGTCGACAGCTGATAACAAGACAGGATGTTGTTATTATGCCTTCGTGCATGACGGGAGAGAGGGGGGGGGGGAGATAAAAGGACAGGTAGAGATAAAGGCGGAGGAAGAGAAGGGGGGAAGGGTTGGGAAGGAAAGGGGAAAAGTGGAAGAGGGGGAGGGAAGGAGGGAAGGAGGGAGGGAGAGATAGATAGATAACGATAAAGATAGATATATAAATAGATAGAAATATATATATATATATATGTATATATATATATATATATATATATATATATATATATATATATATATATATATATAGAGAGAGAGAGAGAGAGAGAGAGAGAGAGAGAGAGAGAGAGAACGATAAAGACAGTTAAATGGCGATAAAGATAAATAGATAGCAAGAAAGAGAAGAAAAAACAAATAAAAGAAACGGTAAGAGAAAGGGAGGATAAGATAAAGAAACAGAATGTACCAAATGTGTCGAAAAAAGTATATTCATTAATTCTAGCACTCTCAAAACTCCAACAATAACATGGAACATTACTTAGACACTTTCACTATACTGAGACATACTAAGTGTGGTAAATGACAAATACTTAAGACGGCTTGTGTGTGTGTGTGTGTGTGTGTGTGTGTGTGTGTCTGTGTGTGTGTGTGTGTGTGTGTGTGTGTGTGTGTGTGTGTGTGTGTGTGTGTGTGTGTGTGTGTGTAGTTGATCATCAACAGCGTTATGTTTGTCAGAATTCAGAAATAAATACACCTTGCTACACAATAACCCCCTCCCCCCCCCCAAATGCTGTCGACGAAAGTCTAAACAATCTTTCAGTAAAATAAATAATCAGCAAAATGAACAACTGAAAAGACGTTAAAAAAAGAAAAGCATAATTTCTTGGACGCCGAGAACCATGGCAACAAATTCTGCTTCGAAACCTTCACTAGCGTCCGAAACCTCGAGCATTTAACGTGCAATTAGTTCGGTCCTTCCTGCTGGTCCTTGTGGCGACGGTTTCTAATTCGCACTCCCGAGGCAAAGGCTGCTTACAAACACGGAGATATATTGAAAAAAAAAAAAAAAAAAAAAAAAAAAAAAAAAAAAAAAATATATATATATATATATATATATATATATATATATATATATATATATAGATATATATATATATATATATATATATATCCAGTTGGTATCATCATTACTAATGTGAAATAGAAACGTTGGTATACGTATACTAAATCGAATATATACTCAAAAGCAAACACACCCATGTCCAAAGACACATACATACATACGCACATACATACATACACACACACAATGATAAGACAATAATAATAATAATAAAATGAATGAATAAAAATAAAAATAAAATGAATAAATAAAAATAAAACAAACACACACACGTACCGCCGCATACGTGATTTCATCTCTCGAAACCGCACTCAACCTTTCGACTTTCCATTACCGTCTCTCCAGACTTCGAGTGTAGTGTTGTTCCGCATTACATTCGAACAAAAACATATGATTTACACTCTTATTGACGTATTGAATCATCTTTTTTAGTTGATTAAGGATATATACATATACATTAATAATTATGAAGAGAAAGTGTAATGAACTGTAACAAATTTCCTTTAGGGTTATTCATATAGATATTACGATGAAACACACGAAATGCCTCTTAGCTTTAAATTTAAGATCTTTACATAGTCATTAATGGCTGGTATATCCGAGATATTCCAGTATATCATAAAATAAAAGTATTTTCTTGGCGTGTAAAACATCTCGCTTCCACTCGATTGAAGACGATTTTTTCTTTTGAAAAATAATATCAATCCATTCCACTTCCAGCTAAGACACATAATCGGATTTCAGTGCCCACTCATTTCACACAGCTGGAAATCTCTCTCTCTCTCTCTCTCTCTCTCTCTCTCTCTCTCTCTCTCTCTCTCTCTCTCTCTCTCTCTCCTCTCTCTCTCTCTCTCTCTCTCTCCCTCCCTCTCCCTCTCTCTCTCCCTCTCTCTCGTTCGCGATTCCTGCCCGGCGGCGAATGCGGGTGATGTCAACGCCGCGCCACAGCCGCTCCGCCTCATCGCCTTGTGCTACATTTCGCCAAGAGTTCCCCAAGAGCAGACTGAGAGCCTCTTCTGCAGCTCGAGACCATTTACCTGAATCGTGTGTCGAGGTTCCAGTCGGGGTGTTCCGAGGGCTGGCAATGGGCGGCCCGCGTATCCGATCTCGAAGGGGTCTTTCGCACTACACAACCGATGTCCAGGCTACGTGTTGGACAGCAGCTGACACGCACGCACAACTCCACCTGGCCGAGTTAAGCAGGAGACTGGTACGAGCTCAAGGTGCGTGGCGGGTGTAGGTCGTTTCTAACCTCCCCCCCCCACAACCTGCCCCCGCCCCATCCCTTTCCAGTCCCGGTCCCCTACCCCGTAACCCTCCCCCCCCCCGCCCTTGTATCCGTATGCCCTCCCTCCCCCACACCCCTTCACCCTCCTCTTCCTTCCCCTCCCTCCTGTCCATGACCCTCCCGTACCCCTCCCCCCCCCCTTCTTCCTGACCCTCCCTCATCCTGACACTCCCTTACGCCCTCCCTCCTCTTCCTAAACCTCCTCCCCCCCCTTCCCTCCTCTTCCTGACTCTCCCCTTACCCCCTCCCTCCCTCCCTCCCCCCTAACCCTCCTTTGCCCCCTCCCTCCGGTCTCCCTCCCTCCCCCCTCCCCACTCCGCCCTCCCCCTTCGCTTTCTGTGATTCCCCAGCTCCACGGCGTCCGGGAAGACAAGTAACTCGGCCTCGGACTTCGCTACACGCAGGTCCTTCTCCGTACTCAGGGCTGGAAAAGTACGCGCCCACGTCAGGGGGAAGGACGAAGAAGAGACAGTGAACAGAAAATGAATGAAACACGTTCGCCTCCTTTTGCTTTTTGTTTTTCTTTGTTTTCGTCTTCGTCTTCTCTTGGGTCTGCTTTTGATTCTGGTTATTGAAGGCTGCCATGAGCATTTTCGTATCTCTCTCTTTCTCTCTCTCTCTCTCTCTCTCTCTCTCTCTCTCTCTCTCTCTCTCTCTCTCTCTCTATATATATATATATATATATATATATATATATATATATATATATATTTATATATATATATTTATTATATATATATATGTCTGAATATTTATCTTCCTCTCTCTCTCTCTCTCTCTCTCTCTCTCTCTCTCTCTCTCTCTCTCTCTCTCTCTCTCTCTCTCTCTCTCTCTTTCTCTCATGTCTATGTCGCACCAACAATGCCTTTGCTATTTTTTCAACAATGGTTATTCTGTAATAGAATATTAAAAGTTATTAATATCATTCGTGGGGAACACAGTGATTTAAACCCCATTTTAAGCTTTAAACGGGGATTTATATCAAAAGCTAAGAACTGCATTAATGGCGAAAACATTGCAGTTTAAGACTTCTGTGTTAAGCCAACACTATAAATTTATGTAACTAAATATAACTACACATAACTATTAATAATTAAATAATTATATATAACTCACGTCTAATCTCAGAAGAGGGAAAATTGGCAACTCACCTTAAACTCTATAGTACTCCGATCTTGGAAACTTTATTTTAATCAGCCGGTGCTAAATACTCAAGCTTATGTATGTTTGACATTTGTAAAACTCATATACAATATTTACCTTGCTCTAAACCACTATATATTTTCTTCTTTCTCTCTATCTCTCAATCTCGTGGAGATTCCAAGTACGCCGTCCTGGGTGGGTTACCAGGTCTTATTTTTCTCCCCCTGGAATTCAACGCAGTACAGAATTTGCATAAAGACAATGATAAAGCCTTTAAAAGCCCCTGCTCCTACCTTAAACGCCGACAGATACGAAAGAACTAAGACTCACAGTATTCGGAAGAAACATGACTAAATAAATAAATAAATAAATAAATAATGGGTTCTACAACAGGGCAATAACGATAAGGTAATTATTTTCATTCTCCGGCCGCTGGCAACCCAAGGCGATGAGGCTGGATTGGAACCTCTCGACGAAAAGGGAAAGTTGGGGCATTTATCCATAAGCCTCAAGAAAAATCTTTTTTTTTTTTTTTTGCTTTTACGCCCGTGGCTGGCTTTGGGGTAGTGATGATGAGGATATTGATAATGACGAGGATGATGATGATTGTTGAAATGAGGAGAAGGAGGAGGATTTCATGATAATAGTGAGGATTGATGGTTGCTATGATGGTAATAGTGGTCATGAGAATGGCTGAGATATTATTAAAAAGGACAATAATACAAAAAAACTGTAGAAATAAACAAAAATAATATTGATAATAAGCAGCAGATTATAATGATTATGATGCTAGCAGCAATAATGATTATGGTAATGGCGATATTGACAGTGATTTGTTAAGTGTATAATGCTATAATAATGACAGGTATGATAACGAAAATGATAATGATACCAATAATAGTTATAATCTTTATTATCATTATTCTCCTTATCATTATTCTCCACAAATTCTCTGTTTCGCTGTAACTTGAAAACCGGTTTCTAAAGGGACCTGTTATGTGTTTCTCTAACTTCATAAAAAATATATTTGTCTGAGGTTTCCACTCTCATTTATATCTCAGTTTCATATGTAAATATTCCCAAGTATCATGAGCTAACCTCTAGTTCTTTTTATTATATCCTCTGGGGAATAGATTACAGACAAGGGGAAAACAGAAATTCAATATTTTCTTCAATATATATATTTTCATATATATGTACACCACAAATAATAGCACATCAAAAAGAAATAGAAACGATCCAGTAAGCACTAATCCAGCCCGGGATCAAGCGGC